TCTACCACTGAGCCACCTTCCCAGTCCCCCCCACCCAGCTTTTTTATTCAAAGCTAGCATTCCACCACTCGAGCCATAACTCCGGTAGCTAACTGGAGATAGAATTTCCATAGACATTTCTGCCCAGGCTGGCTTTGGACTGTGATCCTTGGGTCTCAGCCTCCTGGGTAGCTTGGATTACAGGTGTGAGCCACTGGTACCTGATTGCACTGGGTATTTTTTTATATAGGTTCTTGCCTCCTGCCAAAGAGAAGCAGAAGGAAGGAAGAGGAGGAGGAGGAGGAGGAAGAGGAAGAGGAAGAGGTAGAGAGGGAAGAGAGAGAGAAAAGAAGAGAGGAGGAAGAGAAGGAGGAAGAGGAAGAGAAGAAGGAAGAGAAAAGGAGAAGGAAGAAGAGAAGGAAGGTAGGGTCAGAGGTCTCCCTGAGGGTGTCTGGCAGATTCAGGCAGTTTTTCTTACTCAATTTCCTGGCTGAAACAGATGTCGTTAGGGAATGAATGGAGAAGAAAGAGAGATGCCCTTTGGTCCTGCTGCTTCTTTCCTTCCCATCTCCCACCTCACTGGCACTCCGGGTACCTGAGAAAACCCTCACTCCCCACCCCCCTCTGAAATGTCAGCCAAACAGGGCTTAGGCGGCTCACACCTGTAATCCTAACTACTCAGGAAGCTGAGATATGAGGATCGAGGTTCAAAGCCAGCCCAGGAAAGTCCATGATGCTCTTATCTTCAATAAACTACCAAAAAGCTGGAAGTCAAGCTGCAACTCAAGTGATAGAGTACTGATCTTGAGTTAAAGACGCTTAAGGACAGCAGTTTGAGCCTCAGGGAAAGCAGTTCAAGCCCCAGGACCAGCACAAAGAAAAGGAAGGAAGAGAGGAAGAGAGGGAGAGAAGGAGGGAAAGAAGGAGGGTAATAAAAATGGGGTGAACGCTGGGCGCTGGTGGCTCATGCCTGTAATCCTAGCTACTTGGGAGGCTGAGATCTGAGGATCATGGTTCCAAGCCAGCCTGGGCAGGAAAGTCTGTAAGACTCTTATCTCCAATAAACCACCAGAAAATCAGAAGTGGTGCTGTGGCTCAAGTAGCCTGAGCTGAAGAGCTGAGGGACAGTGCCCAGAATCAGAGTTCAAGCCCTGCAGCTGACAAAAGAAAAGGAGGGGGGATTTTTTTTGGGGGGGGTCTAGTCGTGCGGCCTGAACTCTGGGCCTGGGCACTGTCCCTCAGCTCTTCAGCTCAAGGCTAGTGCGTTACCACTTGAACCATAGCACCACTTCCAGCTTTTTTTTTTGCTTGTGTGGTGCTGAGGAATCGAACCCAGGGCCTCATGCATTCAAGGCAAGCACTCTACCCCTGAGCCACCTTCCCAGCCAGGGGTGGGGGGGATGATTTTAAACTAAGTACATTACATGTGTTTTTAAATACCAAATTTGCAATATCATAAAAATTGTAATAAAAAAGAAAGCACATGGAATATTCTGTAGCCACGTGCATTTTATAGGGAGGAACTGTATTGCTAGTACATCAGGTGGCAACAGGAAGTAGGAGACACAAGTCCCATGCACCCTCTGTACATGATAGCCACCAAGAGTTGTTGGGGATCCGAGATTAATGGGAACAGTTTGTACTTTTAAAGATTGGGGGTGGATGGGCTGGGAATGTGGCTTAGTGGTACAGTGCTAGTCTGGAGCAAAAAGAAGCTTAGGGACAGTGTCCATGTCCTGAGTTCAAGCCCCAGGACTGGCACACACAAAACAAGCAGGGGCTTTTTTTTTTTTTTTTCCAGTGCTCAGGATCGAATCCATGGCTTTACAAGTGCTCTATCACCTGGCCCACACTCTCAAACCCTTTTGTTTCTATTTTGTTTCTGAGATAGGATGCCACTAAATTTGCCCGTTAGCCCTTCAACTAGAATTCCTCCTACTTCAACGCTCCAAGGGTGGGGATTACAGGTATGCACCACTGCACTCAGATAAAGTAAGTCTGGGTTTTTTAATATCTCCTGTATCTTCTGTTATGTCATTAGTGTGTGTGTGTGTGTGTGTGTGTGTGATCAGCCAAAGGCTGCAGATAGTAAGTAACAGTGAGGTATTTGAACTCAGCTTGGTGTCCTCCAGCTAGTAGCTGACCAGCTCTTCCAGGGCTCTTGTGGTAGTAGTAGGTAAGTCCTTGCAATGAATTAATCCTGAGGGAAATGAGTTCCCAAGGGGACGCTGTCTCTGGTCCTGAAAACCCCAGCCAGCCTGGAAGCTGAAGGACAGAGCCCTCCCCACAGCAGAGAGGTCCTTCCAGCCGCTTTCATCCCAGATGGGCTGGGCCACCCATGGCTCATGTCTGTGATCTAGCTACTCAAGAAGCTGAGGTCTGAGGATGGTGGCTTGAAGCCAACCTGGGCAGGAAAAGTCTGTGAGGCTCTTATTTAAGTGAATCACAAAAATAGTCAAAAGTGAAGCCGTAGTTCAAGTGGTAGAGCGCCAGCCTTGAAGGAAAAGCTAAAGGACAGTGCTCAGGCTTGATTTCCAGGAAAACAAACCGAAGCACTTTTCTGCTTGGGCTGGCTTCCACCTTCAGTCCTTCAGGCTTTTGGGGTGCCAGGATTACAGGTATCTACTTCTAGCAGCGCCTGGCATGAAGTGGAAATTTAGCAAAAACAAGGAGCACCATCACGCTATGGAGAAGGGAGAAGACAAGATTCAAAATATTGGCATGGGAAGGTGGCTCAGTGGTAGAGTGCTTGCCTGGCATGCGTGAATTCCATTCCTCAGTACCACAGACACAGAAAACTATGGTGTGTGAGGCCCTGCGTCCCATCCTCAGCACAGCAGAGAGAAAAAGGAAACGAGATGGAAAGAAAGAGAAGTGAGGCAGAGAAGGAGATGGGAAGGGTGGGAAGGAGACGGGAAGGGAAGGAAGGGAGGAAAGAAGGAAGGAGGGAAGGAAGGAAGGAAAGAAGGAAGGAAGGAAGGAAGGAAGGAAGGAAGGAAGGAAGGAAGGAAGCAAGGAAGCAAGGAAGGGACGTATAGGGTTCCTTTGATTATGAAGAACTTGGATGACTTCGTGCCACTTACAAAGATGGCGGCGCGCAGACCTCTCCGCCCGTCACCAACATGGCCGCCCCAGGGATGGGCGTGTCCGATACCGGAAATGACGCCACGAGCCGGAAGTCCGGCTTTCCCGGGAACGGGTCCGGATTCCTTGGCGCGAATGCGGGCGGGTCGGTGGATGCGGGGCTCCGGGCCGCTCGGAGGCCCCGCGGCCCTGTGGCCGCTGCTGGCCGTCCACGTGGCGACGGCGCTGGAGCCCGTGAGCATGGGCGTGGCGGCCGTCGGGGCCGCGTCGGCGCTCACCGGCCTCTTCTCCTACACCAAGCTGTACTGCCGCTTCGCCGAGTGCTGCGTGGAGGAGCGGCCGCTCGACGCCGCGGGTGCGTCCCGAGCCGCGGCCGCGGCGCTGGAGGGCGGGCACGGGCGGCCGGGGCGGCCGGGACGGGCGGCTCGGGGACTCCGGCCCGGTCCGCGGGCCTTGAGATCCCAAGCAGAAGACGCCACGGCAGCCCTCCCCGGGAGCGGGCAGGCCGCAGCGCCCGGCCGGGGCCCCACCGTTGGCCTTTGGTTTTCTTACAAAAGCCAGCAGGGTTGTCAGGAGACACAGCCTGCAGCGAAGCCAAGAGAAAGTTCCTCCTGGAAGGCCTGAATCTCTTTCATGGCGTTCTTAAGTGCTCAGGAACCTCACATCCGCCCGCCAACCTCTGTGCTTCTGCCTCAATGTTGGCGCTGGGATTTGCCCGAGACCCTGCTGGACGCCCGCTACGCTGAGCCTCCCACTGTCTAACTGGGCACGCGCTGCTTTCCTGGTCCCCCACCCCCACCCCCCATTTTTGTGCTCATCCTGGGGCTTGAACTCGGGGCCTGGCCAATGCCCTTTAGCTTTTTCACTCAAGGCTGGAGCTCTACCACTTGAGCCACGCTTCTCCTGCCGGCCTTTTGCTGGTAAGTTGGTGGCACTACTAAGTCTCTCCGGTAATTGTCCTCGGAAAAACTTTGAACCACGATCCTTAAGTCTCAGCCTCCTGAGTAGCTAGGATTACAGGCCTGAGCTACTGGCCTCCAGCTAATGTTGTCTTTTTTTTTTTCCCTTGGTCGGTCGTGGGGCTTGAACGGTGGGCTTGGGCGCTGGCCCTCAGCTCTTCAGCTCAAGCAAGCTAGCACTCTGCCACTGAGCCGCCTTCCCAGCCCCTTCTGTTGTTTTTAACATGTGTTTTTCTCTCTGTTCCTGGGGCTGGCCGTGCAGCCCTCAAGCGGGACTTGGAGGAGAAGCTGTTTGGACAGCACCTGGCCACAGAAGTGATCCTCAAGGCCCTCACCGGCTTCCGGAACAACAAGCACACCAAGAAACCACTGACGCTGTCCCTGCACGGCTGGGCTGGGACAGGCAAGAATTTTGTCAGCCAAATTGTGGCTGAAAACCTTCATCCTCAAGGTCTGAAGAGTAAATTTGTCCACCTGTTTGTATCAACTTTGCATTTTCCTCATGAGGAGAAGATGAAAATGTACCAGGCAAGAGAACTCCCGGGAGGCCCCCAGTCTGCCTGGGGAACCACCTGCTCACCAGCTTCTGCTGCTTCGCATTGCAGTAAACCACCCGCATGGCCTCGGCTTCTCTTTCTGCATTAGGGGAGCCCTGGGCTCTACTATTTATGAACAAGAGTCTCACTATGTGTCCAAGGCTGCCCGTGAGCTCCTGGGTCCTCCTGCCTCAGCCTCCTGAGGGCTGACAGCACAGTTGTGCACAGCTATACCCAGTTTAAGGCACTTTGAGATCCCAGTTGGTGGTTTATGGGATTGCCCTATTTTTTTTTTTTTTTTTTGCCAGTCCTGTGACTCATACTCTGGGCCTGGGTGCTGTCTCTGTACTCATTTTGCTCAGGGTGAGTGCTCTACCACTTGAGCCACAGCACCATTTCCGGCTTTTCTGAGTAGTTTATTTGACATAAGAGTTTGGTGGATTTTCCTGCCGGGGCTGGCTTTGAACCGCAATCCTCAGATCTCAGCCTCCTGAGTAGCTAGGATTATAGGCGAGAGCCACCAGCGCCCAGCTGTCCTGAGCTCTTTTGATCACTCTGTCACTTTGACCACAGCTCTACTTCTGGTTTTCTAGTGGTTCATTGGAGATAAGAGTCTCAGACTTTCCTGCCCAGGCGATCCTCAGGTCTCAGCCTCATCCTGAGTAGCGAGGATTATAGGTGTGAGCCACCAGTGCCTGGTTCAGGTGGGGCATCTTTAAATGCTTTATTTGGACGTGGCGGTATTTGCTGTTCTCTACTTGTGCTGCAGCCTCAGCTTTGCACTTGCCTTTTGCAGGAAGACTGGAGACATTTTTTTCCTGAATAGCTTTTAGTCCCTTTATTCCTCCTGTCCTTCAAGTCCTTGCTATTGCTTTCTTCAAAGAAAGCCTCAAAGAACTGGATCTCCACACGCGCTCCCTCTAACGTGCTCAGGCCACAGCTAATGGGCTCATTCCCCTTTCACTCGATGTCTTGTCATTCATGTTTTTCCTGTTAAGTGGAGGCTGAAATAAGAAATAGAAACTTACATGGACAGGGAAGTGAAAGTGGCTTTCAAAACTGTAAGATGAGGAGGAGTGCTAAGAGGAAGAAGCCTTAGAGGCGTGGGTGTGGCTAGTGTGTGTACATGTTGCTGCTGGGGCTTGAACTCCAGGCCTAGGTGCTGTCCCTTAGCTTTTTCACTTAAGGCTGGCACTCTACCACTTGAGCCACAGATCCACTTCCAGCTTTTTGCTGATTAATTGGAGGTAAGAGTCTCAAGGACATTTCCTGCCAGCTGGCTTAAACAGTGATCTCAGATCTCAGCCTCCTGGGTAGCTAGGATTACGGGAGTGAATCACTGGTGCCTGGCCGAAATAATCTTGTTTTCTAAGTTTTGTCATAAGTCTCTCGAGATAAGTACAGCAGATGGAGTGTTTCTGGCTTTTTGTGTTTTAGAGTTGAGGGCTTGTTTTTTTGGGAGTTGGGCACTTGGTGTCTCAGCCTATAATCCTAGCTATTCAGGAGGCTGAGATGTGAGAATCATGGTTCAAAGCTGAGACTCCCATCTCCCATGAACCAGCAAAAAGCCAGTCTAGCAGCGTGGCTCAAGTGACAGATTGCCCACTAGCCATGAGCAAGCCAGGGTGAGGCCCTGAGTTCAAGCCCCACTACTGGGGCTAGGGATGGATGTGAGTGGCTGAATGCTTGCTCTAGCCCCTCAGAGAAAAGGCAACTGCAGGAAGTACAGGAATGGATGCTGCTCATTGCAGCAGCCAAGGCCTTGTCTAGACACTGCACATCCTTCGTCCACAGTTGTCCAGGCTGTATTGTGTCTTCACTGTATCGTAGATTAAAAAAAGAAATATGTTAATAGTGTTTGCAGACTTTTGCCTGCGGTGGAGCTGAGGAATTCCTGTACTTCCTCATTCCTCAGTATTGCCTGGAGATTTCGGTCCACACTGAAATGAAAATTAGGATGTGATTAATATGAATGATAACTATTCGTGTACCCCTCCACCTTACAGTAGAAGGACAGGATTCGTGTTGATTTGAATTAGGAAGGGTTGCATTTCTGCACTCCTGGCCGTTTCCGTCTTTGATGAAGCTAAGATGGAGGGAGGGAGGGAGGGAGGGAGCACCTGGTCTCCAGCGCGCACGTCCTGAGCCACGGTGCCTCTTCCTTTATGGTTCATGCAGGACCAACTACAGAAGTGGATTAGGGGAAACGTGAGCGCGTGCTCCAGCTCTGTGTTCATTTTTGACGAGATGGACAAATTGCATCCCGGGATCATTGACGCCATCAAGCCCTTTCTAGACTACTACGAGCAGATTGATGGGATCTCCTACCGCAGAGCCATCTTCATCTTCCTCAGGTGAGCTACCGGCCTTCCTTTCCCCTCATAACAACCTGGGTTTTTCTGTGTGTGTGTGTGTGAGAGAGAGAGAGAGAATCCAAGGCCTATGTACTGTCTTTCAGCCTTTGCTCAAAGCTACTGCTCTACCACTTTGAGCTATGCAGATACTTTTTTTTCTTCTGGTGGTTAATTGGAGTTAAGAGTCTCACAGACTTTCCTTTCCTCAGATTATCAGCCTCCTGAGTAGCTAGGATTACAGGTGTGAGCCACCAGCTCATACACTGCATGCATGCTGTTTACCAGGCCTTCAGTTATTTGTTTACATCTTTTACTTTCTGGTTGTCAGGTGTGGACAGGGTGAATGAGATGAAGTCATCAATGGACAGCTGTAACTGTACAGCTGTTTCTGAAGTTTGTAGAAAGCCAAAGCACCTTCTTAGCAAGTTCTAGAGACGCACAGTTCAGCTCCTTGGGGCAGCCTTGTGGCTTATTTTGTTTTGGGGTCTGGGTAGCACTTAGTAATTATTCCTTGGTGAAGAATAAAGTTGAAGGGGCTGGGAATGTGGCTTGGCATTAGAATGCTTGCCTAGCATGCATGCCCTGGGTTTGATTCCTCAGTACCACATAAACAGAAAAATCTGGGGGGCTGGGAAGGTAGCTGAGTGGTAGAGTGCTTGTCTTACATGCATGAGGCCTTGGGTTCGATTTCTCAGCACCACATAATCAGAAAATGCTGGAAGTGGCACTGTGGCTCAAGTGGTAGAGTACTAGCTTTGAGCACAGAAAGGCTCAAGGACAGTGCCCAGGCCCTGAGTTCAAGCTCCAGGCCTGAAAAAAAAAAAAAAAAGAATAAAGCTAGAGCTGGGAATATGGCTTAGTGGTAGAGTGCTTGCATAGCATGCATGAAATCCTTGGTTCCATTCCTCGATACCACATAAACAAAAAGCCAGAAATGGTGCTGTGGCTCAAGTGGTAGAGTACTAGCTTTGAGCAAAAGAAGCTCAGGCCCTGAATTTAAGCCCCTGGACTGGAAAAAAAAAAAAGAAGAAGAAGAAGAAAGCTGGGCGCTGGTGGCTCAGGCCTCTGTAAACTTATGTACTCGGGAGACAGATCGGATGATTGAGGTTTGAAGCCAGGCAGGCAGAAAAGTCCATAAGACATATCTCCAGTTAACCACCAGAAAACTGGAAGTGGAGCTGTGCCTCAAAGTGATAGGAGCACTTGGGCAAAAAAGCTGAGGGCCAGAAGCCACACCCCGAGCAAGCCCCGTGACCAAGAACAGCAACAAAACTAGCAGCTGGGAACTCTGGGCTTGGGCACTGTCCCTCAGCTCTTCAGCTCAAGGCGAGCGCTCTACCGCTTGAGCTACAGCACCACTTCCGGTTTTCTGGTGGTTTATTGGAGACAAAAGAGTCTCACGGACTTTCCTGCCCGGGCTGGCTTTGAACCTCAATCCTCAGATCTCAACCTCTTGATTAGCTAAGATTACAGGCGTGAGCCACCGGCACCAAGCCCCAAGATTCTTTTTTTTTTTTTTGAGATCCGGTCGTGGGGCCTGAACTCTGGGCCTGGGCGCTGTCCCTCAGCTCTTCAGCTCAAGTCTAGTGCTCTACCACTTGAGCCACAGCACCACTTCCGGCTTTTTTCTTATGTGGTGCTGAGGAATCGAACCCAGGGCCTCGAGCATGCAAGGCAAGTGCTCTACCGCTGAGCCACCTTCCCAGCCCAGCCCCAAGATTCTTATATCCGGTTAACCAGCAAAAAGCCAGAAGTGAGGCTGTGGCTTAAGTGGCAGAGTGCCAAACTTAAGTGAAAAAGTTAAGCAAGGGTATAAGGTCTAGAGTTCAAGCCCTAGTAGAAGCACCAAAATAAAGCTGGGGTCAGGTTTAGAGGTGTGGCTCAGTGGTAGTGCATTTGTCCAGTGAACACAGGACCGGGATTTGATTCCCAGCACAGGAGGAAAGGAAAAAAAAGAACTAAAGCAGCCGGCCACTGGTGGTTCATGCCTGTAATCCAAGCTATTCAGGAGGCTGAGATCTGAGGATCGAGGTTCAAAGCCAGCCTGGGCAGGAAAGTCTGTGAGACTCTTATCTCCAGTAAACCACTAGAAAACCGGAAGTGGTGCTGTGGCTCAGGCGGTAGAGCACTCGCCTTGAGCTGAAGAGTGCAGGGACAGCGCCCAAGCCCAGAGTTCAAGCCCCACAACTGACCAAAAAAAAGAACTAAAGCTTAGGGCTGGGGCATAGCTCAGTAGTATAGTATGTGTTTAGCATGTACAGAGCTCTGAGTACAGGGGGCTGGGTGAAGCTTAGGGCTAGCACTTTTTCTGATGAGACATGGACATCTTTTTTTTTTTTTTCTTTTTGCTTATGTGGTGCTGAGGAATCGAACCCAGGGCCTCATGCATGCAAGGCAAGCGCTCTACCACTGAGCCACCTTCCCAGCCCGAGACACGGACATCTTAAGTATGATTTCAATCTTTGTTTCTCAGCAATGCGGGAGGGGACCTTATAACTAAGACAGCGCTGGACTTCTGGCGGACAGGAAGAAAGCGGGAAGAGATCCAGTTGAAGGATCTGGAGCCTGTGCTGTCGGTCGGGGTCTTCAACAACAAGCACAGTGAGTTCCCTGGGGTGGGGGGGCATGGGAGACCTGTGCTCTGCCATGTGAGCCTGATACCCTCTTGTCTGCACCCATGTCTGTGGGGACAACATGATCCTGCACCAGCATCAGCTGGTCCAGGCAAGACTTCCTGTCAGGCTTGACAAAAAAGATTAACTTGAAAGCCGGCCGGGCACTGGTGGCTCACACCTGTAATCCTAGCTTATTCAGCAGACTGAGATCTAAGGATCATGGTTCAAAGCCAGCCCTGGCAGGAAAAGCCGTGAAACTCTTATCTCCAGTTAACCACCAGAAGCCGGGCGCTGGTGGCTCACACCTGTAACCCTAGCTACTCAGGAGGCTGAGGTCTGAGGATTGCAGTTCAAAGCCAGCCCGGGCAGGAAAGTCCCTAAGACTCTTATCTCCAAGTAACCACTCAAAGCCGGAAGTGGTGCTGTGGCTTAAGTGGTAGAGTGTTTTGAGCTGAAGAGCTCAGGGATAGAGCCCAGGCCCAGAGTTCAAGCCTCATGACCAACCAAAAAAACCCAAAAAAAACAATTAACTACCAGAAAATTGGAAATAGCACTGTGGCTCAAGTGGTAGAGCACTAGCCTTGAGCTGAAGAGCTGAGGGACAGCGCCCAGACCCAAGCCCCATGACCAACCAAAAACATAAAAAAAAAAAAACCAAAAACAAAAAAAAGTTGAGCCAGGCCCCAGTGGCTCATGTCTGTAATCTTAGCTACTCAAGAGGTGAGAGCTGAGGTTCCTGGTTCAAAGCCAACCTGGTTAGTCCATAAGCCTCTCCAAGGAACCAGCATAAAGCTGGAAATGTAGGCATGGCTCCAGTGTTAGAGTGCTGGTCTTCAGCACAAGAGCTGAGCAAGAGCATGATGCTCTGAGCTCAAGTCCCAGTACCTGTTCCATAGACAGACAGACAGACAGACAGATGACTGTCTTGAAGAATGTTCTGGGGCTGCTGTTGGGTGGGTGTGGCCAGGTGGCAGTGATGCGGGGCCTGTCTTGCTCTGCAGGTGGCCTGTGGCACAGCGTGCTGATAGACCGGAACCTTGTCGACTACTTTATCCCCTTCCTACCCCTGGAGTACAGACATGTGAAGATGTGCGTGCGGGCCGAGATGCGGGCCCGCGGTGCTGCCGTAAATGAGGACATTGTCACCAAGGTGACAGATGAAATGACGTTTTTCCCCAAAGATGAGAAGATCTACTCAGACAAAGGCTGCAAGACGGTGCAGTCACGGCTGGATTTCTATTGAGGGCCTCTGTGTGCGGGCAGAGAGGAGCCTGGGGCCCGGCACCCCTGCACCCGGAGCCCTGCCACGGAGAAGCACATTGGAGGCCTTTGGGCAGTTTGCACCTTCATTACCTGTCAACTTGCGGGACCGGAAGTTGCTAAGAGTCGGTTTTGAAGACACTGACCATGGATGGAGCCTGGCAGCAGCTCCGTTCGTTCCTGCCATTGCAGGCAAGTGCCTGGCGGCGGCCCTCAGCTCCCATGCCTCGGAAGCGCTGCTGGGGTCAGGAGGGTCAAGGCCCTGCCGCGGTGGGCACGGCCCCTCTGCCGCCGGCTCTGCAGCGCACTCGCAGGCCTCAAGGGTCTCGACTTGAGGTGAGTGGCAGCAGTGGGTGCTGACGGTGTCTGCGGGGAGGACTTGGTCCTGCACACCTGTGTCCGCACCCCATTGTCGTGGGGAGGGCTTGCTCCTGCACGACCGTGCACCCCTGTGTCTGCGGGGAGGACTTGGTCCTGCACACCTGTGTCTGTGAGGACCACACGACCGTGCACCCCTGTGTCTGCGGGGAGGACTTGGTCCTGCACACCCAGCTCTTGGTGTGTGCTAACCCCTGGTCCTCCAGCTCAGGACACAGTTCTCTTGGGTCTGGCCCTGGCTCTGCCTGCTGCCCACATCCTGTCCCCTGCTTTGTATGGGCCCAAGCCTTCCTCGAAGCTTGTCTTCTGGGTACAGTGACCTCCTGACTCCCCCAGCCCCAGCATTGCTGGTGGCTCAGCACGCGCGCACACACACACACACACACACACACACACACACAGCACACCCTGTACAGTGCATACACTGCACGCACAGCATACCCTGTGACATTCTTGCCTGTTACACTAGGTGCCATTGTCAAGCTCAGCTACTCCAGGCAGAATCGCTGGAGTGGGGAGGGCAGGCCTGCTCCCCACGGCTGATTCCTGCCAGGCCAGCACACTGCTGACAGGCCAGGTGTCCTGCCACAGAGATGCCTGGCTTTTACAAGCACAAGTGTGGTTTTTTTCATATTCTTCTGCGTTTTATGATAAAGCATGAGATGTATTAAAACCTAGGAAAAGCTGGGTGCCAGTTACTCATACCTGTAATCCTAGCTACTCAGGAGGCTGAGATCTGCAGATCATGTTGGAAACCAGCCCCCTCAGGAAAGTTCACAAGACTATTTCCAATTTTTTGATGAAAAAAAAACCCAAAACTGGAAGTGGAGCTGTGGCTCAAATGGTAGAGCACTAGTCTTCTACATTTTTTTTTTTTTTTTGGGTCGGTCATAGGGCTTGAACTCTGGGCGTGGGCGCTGTCCCTGTGCTCTTCAGCTCAAGGAGAGCGGTCTACCACTTGAGCCACAGCGCCACTTCCTGAGCACTAGTCTTAAGAACAAAAGGTCAGGGACAGTACCCAGACCCTGAGTTCAAGTCCCAGGACTGGTGCACACATGTACACACACACACAAAAAAAACCCTAGTTACTCTCTCAGGTTCTCTATAGTACACATTGTTACTGATGTGTGGTACAGTGTGGTCACAGTTATAGTGAGTTGAAGCCATGGCTGCTTGAGATGGCGCCCCCTGGAGCCCCACCAGGCTGCCCCACCTTGGGAAACAGGACTCAGATTCTGGCCTGCATGGACTGTTTGCCGTTGCTGAGGTGCTACCACAGACACATGGCTAGAACTGCGCTTTTCTGTGGGCAAAACATGGTAGAATGACTACTTTGTTGACTAGGAAATGCCTTATAGAGTATCATGCTATCTTTTAAAAGTGCCAAGATGAAGCCAGACACTAGTGGCTCATACCTGTCAGCCTAGCTACTCAGGAGGCTGAGCTAGGCGGATTGTGGTTCAAAGCCAGGCCAGAAAGTCTGAGACTATTACCTATAATAAACCACTCAGAAAAAGCTGCAGTGGAGCTGTAGCTCAAGTAATAGAGTGCTGGCCTTGAGCAAAAGAACTCAGGAACAGCGCCCAGACCCTGAGTTCAAGCCCCACAACTAACAACAAAAAGTGCCACGAGAGGCTTTCAAGTTTTAGAGGGTATATTCCACATTGGAGCTGAGTTACCGTTACAACCTGCATCAGGTCAAGGGGAGATGTTTACACTGATGCAATGAACTCAACGCATGTCGAGCACTTTGGACTGAACTACTGATGTGGAGCTGGGAGAGATCTCAGTTGACCCTGCCCTGCCCCGCCCCTCCCTTCGTGGACAAGAGCTCGAACTGACCCTCTGACGATACAATAAAGCCTGTGTGTTACATTGTGAAATGTCACTTTTTTTTTTGTCGGTTGTGGGGCCTGAGCTCAGCCTGGGCGCTGTCCCTCAGCTCTTCAGCTCAAGGCTAACGCTCTACCTCTTGAGCCACAGCACCCCCTTCTGGCTTTTTCTGTGTATGTGGTGCTGAGGAATTGAACCCAGGGCCTCATGCATTCGAGGCAAGCACTCTACCACTGAGCCACCTTCCCAGCCCCACCATCATTCACTTTCTCAGTGGTTTATTTGGCAGCAAAATTTGAGCTTACAAAATAAATCAAGGTGCTTTAGCAGCTTGGGTGTTTGCCTTGGATATGTGGCAACACAAATCGGTGTTTGTCTCAGACTGTTATCCCCAAACAGAAGGGATGAAGTGGTGTCAGGCGATGGCTGGTTTCATGAGTTAGAGATGAGCTTCTAACAAACACCACCTAAAACCATTACATGGTGGGACTGTGGCTCACAGCCTCTGGCCCAGCCCCAGCTTCAGTAAGGAAACCTGACTCTGTGGCTCTTCCCTTCCAACTGGCTAAGAAACACCTGTTTGTTGGCCTCAGGGAGTGGATAACAGACTTACTCAGGATGAGAACTGTCTGATTTCAGGGCAGACATCACAAGCTGGGGGCTGGGGGCTCAACACTTGTAATCTTTAACTATTTAGGAGGCTGAAATCTGAAGATTGAAGTTCAAAGTCAGTCTGGGCAGCAAAATCCACGGAAGTCATCACCAATTAACCACCAAAATGCCAGAAGTGGGAGCTGTGGCTCAAGCACTAGCCTTGAGTGAAAAAGCTCAGGGGCAGCACCCAGGCCCTGAGTTCAAGTCCCAGTTCTGGCTCACACACAAATCACAGCCTCTTAACACCACTCGCTTCCCGTCTCAGAGGAAGGTGCTTTAACTCCAGGCCCAGTGTTGAGGCCGGTGCAGCTTCCACACTGTTTGAAACCCTAAAGCACTTAGGATTAAGTCTGGAGGGCCTGGGGTTCCCTACTTGTGGGGTTCCCTACTTGTGGGGTTCCCTACTTGTGGGGTTCCCTACTTGTGGGGTTCCCTACTTGTGGGGTTCCCTACTT